ACATTAAAAAGCATACACAAGTACATTAAAAAAAAAATTTGTGGTACACAGAATTCAAAGCTAGAGCTCCACTAGACAGGATGTGACTTGTGTCTGGTTTTGGGAGGACTAGTTAGAGATCAAATCAGCAGGATGTACAATATACAGGAAAATACATCATTTTGTAGTTAGTGACACTGAAACAGCCGGTCTGTAATCATGCTTCTGTGATATATAAGAAGTTATTGGGATTCTGAACTGCAAAGAAACAGTTGAGTGCATCTCATAGTTTTCGATCACTCACGTGTCCCCCACTTATACCCATGCCTCCACAAAGTGTACGCAATCTAGTTGAAGGAGTGTCCTTTATTTTTACAGCGGTGAAAAAGTCACAGTGACTCAAATGTGGTGGACAGCACTGGTGGTCAGCAAAGACTGATTCAGGCTCTCGTGTTTTCAGTGCACTCTAAGCTGACAGATGATGGCACAACCACAGTCCCAGTCATTTCTACCTAAAGTTCATCTCTGGCACAGTGTTCACAATCGAAACAGGGATTCACAAAGTGCCACGAGTGATGAGTGCTCCGCAGGCGGCTGGTCTTGCTGCTCACTTGTAATGACATATTCACACTTTGAAAGTAAGGAGAAAATGTCTCTGTTATAGTTGGAGATTGAATTCTCATCAACGGTGATGCTTTTTAATCACTCTTCATATCAGTAAACACTCAGCCCTGTCATCTCAGATAGAGGAGCTCCTACTTGTCTTGGACGCAGTGAGCGGCGGTCAGCAGCCAGCGGTCGCTCAGCACAGAGGCTCCACACACATGTCTCATTCCCTTGAAGTGGAGGCTGACCTGCCAGGGCCACTCGCCCTCCCGAGACGCTTGTCCTCCCACGATGCGAGAGCTGCGGTACGGCCTTATCCCGCACTCTGAAAGCACACATGCGTGCAGGCGTTACCGCCACTGAACTTCATACCACAACCATCTGTAGGCAAGTGTGTGGTTAACTTACCACAGTTATCCTCATCAGAGGCGTCGGTACAGTCCTGCACTCCGTCACACTCTGGGTTCATTTTACTGATGCAGAGTTTGTTTTTGCATTGGAAGGTGAACTCTGAGCACGTCTGCAGCACCACAGCTGAAAGACACGTGCAGTATCCGTGAGCAACGCTGACCCACAGGTATCCTTTACCTCAAAATGCTGCTTGATTAAAGATTTTCATGAAAACCATTTTCAGAAGTTCTTATTTGAACTTTACTTCTTACATTTTTCACATTTGGACTCATCAGACGCATCACCACAGTCATCTTTTCCATTGCACTTCAAATTCTCGGCAATGCAGCGGCCATTTTTGCAGGAAAACTGCCCTTTGCATGTTTCTGTAAAACAAGAGAAAAATCACTTATTTACTTCCCTCTACTCGAGTGTTTAATTTGACCTGTTGCTATTTTAATTCCAGAGCTCCTTTAAAGGAGTCCGTTTCAACAAAAACAAACACAGGCTAGTCTTCCACATGCACTACCTCTGCATGTCAACAGATTCTTATGGAAATGTGATTGCACAACGCTCTGCTGATTTACCTGCTGCGCTTCCTACATTCCTCAACAAAACTGGCTTTACCGGCAGAACAACCTCTTGCATTATCTGCCACCTTGCATTTACAGTCCAGTTTTTATCACAGTGCTGTTTATGCACATATTACTTTAACATGTGTGGAGAAAAGAGGGATAAAATTTGCCTCTTGCTTTGGCGAAGTTTCAACTAATTCTTTGTATCAGTACAGAAATCTATTTGGCTTTTATTATTTCCCTCAACTTGAATGTCTTTATACATTTTATTAATGCAGACCCTCAGTTTATTCTCCTTTTTTAATCTCCTCAGGTTTCTTCTGATTGGCTGCCCCTCCCAAATATAAAGGATTTGATTGGCAGGTAGGTGGGGCTAGTGTAAATGCAGTAGACCTACTTGTCTGAC